AACTCCTGGATTATGTTCTTTTTCTCCTCATTCTGATGACATATCCTCCCTTGTTCATCCTGTAATTTGCTAATCCATCTCTTTTCTTTCTGTTTTTTCAGTTTGTGTGCTAGCCACCTCCCCGGTTTGTTTGCATTCTCAAAAATAATTAGTTTGGTCCTTTTTAGTTGTTGTGCTAAGTCCTCTTTCTCAAGGATATTTAGTTTATGTTTAAGTCCATTTGTTGTTTTAAATTTCTCATTTGCGGCTCTTTCTGGAGATTTACTTCCAATCTTTTATCTTCTAGGCATTTCTGTCATTGCTTTTCTCTCTCTCTTTTTGCCATGTATGATATAGCCACTCCCCGCACTGTATCCCAAATATTTTGCAGGGGTGTATCGCCTTTTCTTGTTTTCCTTGAAAAAAAGACCCAGTTATTTATCCATCATTAACCTAAATTCTTTCATCTTTAAAATCGATCTTTGTAATGTCCATCTTGGTGTTTTCATTTGTCCTTTCCAAGTGAATTTCATAGGATTATGGTCAGCCCAAAGATTCGTCTCAATTTCCACTTCTTTTACTTTTACTAAACTCAGTTTAGTTCCCTCAACATCCAAACCATGTCGATTCTGGACAATGATTGGTATCTGTTCGAATAATGAGTATATTGATTCTTCCTGAGTTCTCTCTCTCCAAATGTCTTGAATATTTAATTCCTGTGCCATTTTTTAAAAAAAGTTTTTGGGAGAGGTTTTATTCCTTTCCTTATGTTATTACTTTTGCAGTCTAGTTTTTTATTTGTAATTGCATTGAAATCTCCTAGGATGCAAATATCATCACACTCTATATTAGTGGTTTCCAAAGTGGGTGATACCTCCCCCGGGGGGGTGCCTTAGGGGGTGTTAAGAGGCAAGGGGGCTGACATGGGGGTGCTAAGAGGTGGCAGGGGGTGCTTGCACTCTGTCCGGCAGCCTCGGGGGAGAAATGGGTGACACGCAGATGGCTACCTCTCTCTCCCCCCTTTGTCCAGTGCAGCAGCTGTTCCCGTGGCAGAATCTACCCATAAAATGAACTTGTGTGTTTGTGTGTGTGTGTCAGAGGAGGAATGTGTGTCGAGGGGGAGGAAACATTTTCTTGGTGTTTGAGCTGAAGCACCAATGGGAATTCTTCCTGTTCCAGTTTCATCAGTCTCTGGGCAGAGTCTCCCTTGACTTCACCTGATGGAGGAGAGAGTTCCGAGCAGAGAAGCAGAGAAAGTAGGAGGGGGGATCTTTTCAGTCTTGGGGGACTGCATTCTAGGGGGCGCTTTCATGCCAGCTCCTGAGGGGAGGGTGGACTTCCTTTTGCACCCCCCCATGATTTTCATCCAATTGCCTTTCTCTGTGTGCCTGGAGGGGCAGACTAGATGCCCTTTAAGTTCCCACAGTGCCCAGAGAGTGCCCAGGCTGGAGCTGCCAAGACTCCAGATGGGCAAAATGGAGCGAGAGTTTGAGGGGTTATTTGGTTCCCCCCTGCTCAGTCTGGAAGGGGGGAGCCCCCAGCAGCTGCTATGGAGGACAAGGGAGGAGGCTCAGCCCCACAGCCAGCCAGGACTGGGGGGCCTCACACTCACCCCAAACTGAAGGGAAGCCAGGAAAACCTTCAGCTGACAATCCATGCAGGAAGAGATGGAGAGGATCTGCAGGGATCCCCCCTAATCTGGCCAGATCCTCTCCCCAGGCCCCCTCCCCTTGATGGGGGGATTTCCATAGGGATCTCTCGGCTTTACAGGAGAAAACGGTGTTTTCCGTCCTGAAAACCCGCATCTCTCTCGCTCGAAGAGCCCCTTCCGATCCCTCCTCAGCCCCCAATGGGAAGGCATCTCCCCCTTTCTTTCTGTGGCTTGGGATCCCACTTTTCCTTGCAAAAAAGCCCCTGATGAAGATCCTGGAGCAAAGTTTGGCCATTTCTCCTCCATTTTCTGCTCCTTTCCTCGGACAATTTCAATATCTGCCCATCATTTCAAAGTGCAACAATTGATACTTTCATCAGAAAAAAATATACAAAGTAACATTTTGGGGGGAAATAGTCAATATAAAAATGCGGACATAGAAGTGGAGTCGCAATGAAGTTTTTTTCCTCAGAAATTTGCGTATCTCAGCTGTGGAATAGAAAGCGCTGCTATAACAAAGGTCCTTTTTCTAATGGGTTTTCTTCATTATTTCTTTATTATTATTTTATCATGGTGTAAAATAGAAAAAAATAAAGCAAGTGAGAAAATGAGAAAAGAAAGGAAAGGGGAGGAGAAGTGTGGAAGAAAGGAGGTGCCGGCCCTGCAAGCAAGTCGGGAAAGTAGAACAAAGCCAGTCTGGCTTTACTCTACTTTTCAAATGTGCTGCCACTGCTGCATTCTAGGTGCTGGTCCTGCAGGTCCACCCCATTGAGCCCACTGCACCAGAGGGACCTACCCAAGCAAGTCCGAGCGGAGCAGTGCACCAAGTCAATGGGGTGAGCCTGAGAGAGCGAAAGAGAGAAGGAAGAAAAGAAAGAGAAAAGGGGAAAAAAGAAAAAGGGACAAAGAAAGAGGGGGAGGGAGGGAGGGAGGGAGAGAGAGAGAAATGATGCATCAGATTGAAATGAGGCCTAGTTTAGTCTTGAGGTCCTTTTCCATATTGAAACATCTTTTCCAGCATCTTTGCCAGTACATTGAAACCTCTTTGGCTTCTATTAAAAGTTTTGTGGACAAAACATGGTCAAGACTATGAGGAAGCTCTCACATTTTGTTGATGCTTTAAACAGGATCCATTGGACCAGATCTCCACCCTAAAAAATTACATTTCCCCAATGTATTACAGTACCAAGAAGGCAAAAACAAAATGTACTGGTAAATTACAAGGAGAACACACACACATACACTCCCTTCTAACCCTGCTGGAGCAGGTGATTGGACTAGAATAGATATCTCGTTATCTTTCTCCTCCCTCCCTCCCTCCCTTATTTCTTTTTCTTTCTGTTCCTTCCTTCCATCCTCCCCTTTTTCTTTGTCCCTTTTTCTTTCTTTTCTTTTTCTCTCTCTTTCTCTCTCTCTCTCTCTTTTCTCTCTCTTTCTTTCCCTCTCTCAGTCTCACCCCATTGACTTGGTGCACCACTCCACTCAGACTTGCTTGGGCAGGTCCCTCCAGGGAAACAGGATCAATGGGGTGGACCTGTGAGGCCGGCACCTAGAACACAGCAGTGGCGGCATGTTTGAAAAGTAGAGCAAAGCCAGAGGTTGGTAAATTTTGCTGCAAAGAATCACAAAAGCTTCTGGGCTGTGCACAAGAAGGAACACACATGTCAATGTAATTCAGCAACATAAAATAAAGAAATACAAATAAAACAAATCAACAAGAATCGGCAAAGCATCTCTGATTAGATTCTATTCACTGCTAGAATCTAATCAGAGATGCTTTGCCGATTCTAATCCAATGACCTGCTCCAGCAGGGTTAGAAGTGAGTGTGTGTGTATGTGTGTGCATGGCTGTCAAAACTCCAAAAACAGGTCAAGTATCTCTGGGGAGGCCAGTCATAAATTAGAACACTTGCTAAACAACTGGCTATTAACTGAGGACCACTTGTATTTGGTTTGCCAGTCATCTGGCCATGATCACCCAGTCACATGACCACCAAACCACACCTACCCGGTCATGTGACCAGCAAGCCATGCCCAGCCAGCAAGCCACACCAGCCAGTCACGTGACCAGCAAGCCACGCCCACCCAGTGACATGATCAGCAAGCCACACCCTCAAATTAGGCCATGCCCACAGAAATTTGAATCCCATTCCCTAGGTGGTGGGCACTGAGGATGAATTTGTAGCACCAAGGGGGCAGTGGACTGAAAAAATTTGGAAACCACTTCTCTATTTCATAAATGATATGTAGTTTTCTATAAAACTGCTACTGTCCTCTGTTTGGTGCATAAATTTCTACTACTACAACTTTTTTATGATTTATTTCTATCTCTACAATCAGAATCCTCCCTTCTTTATCTTTATACATTTGTTTAGCCAAGATCATCTCTTTAATATATAACACCAATCCCTCTTTTTTTGTTGAGCTAATGAAACAAATATATTCCTTAGTTTTGGATATTCTAACAATTGTTTCTGTTGTTCTTTTATGTAGGCTTCTTGTATTGCTATTATATCCAAGTTTAAGCATTTTAATTTGTTAAAAAAAATCCTTCTTTTTGTGGGAGAGTTTAATCCATTTATGTCAGTGATAAAATCTTACATTCTTACTGCTTTGTTCTACTTGTATCTGGATTTTGTACTTCTTGTTGTTCTGATCTCTTTTGGTTCTTTGACTCTTCTCTCATAGTTCTCTATTCTTTCTTCTCTTCTATTTCCCCTTTCCTTGGGTTGTTGTGTTTTTTCCTTGATAGCTAACAGTCTTGTATCTCTTTCTTCTGTTGTATTTCTCTTTTCCGGTTCTTCATTGTCAAAATGTTGATTATAAAATTCCTCCACTTTTTCCAGAGTGTCCAGTCAGTACCTTTTGTTTTGCCATGAGACCATGCCTTCTGATGTCAACCATCTAAAATTCACATTGTATTTGGTCAACTTTTACATCAAGAATTGGTAGGATCTTCTTAGTTCTCTAATCCTTCTTGGTACTTGCTTAAGAACTGTTAGTTGTTTCCCTCTATGTTCTATCAGTTCATCCCTTGTCCTATGCAATATTTCATCCCGGATCGACTTCTTTACAAATCTAACGTGTATTTCATTTGGGAGATTGTGTCTCCTCGTGTAGTTTGTTTGCAGTCTATAGGTCTCATCTATCTCCTCAGCATCTCTTCTTTCTTCGTTCCAATTGCTTTCGCTATAAGGTCTGCCCTCATGTCCAGTAGGTCTTCCCCTTTCTCTTCTTTTACATTCTGAAAGTGTAGGTAATGTTCTGCTTTCTCGACTTCTTAAAAAATCACTGTCATTTCTAATTGTTTGTTTGCCGGTATTAGTTTTTCACTTAATTCATCTACTCTTTTTTTCTTATTTCTCCATTCTTTCTTCCATTTCCTGTAATTTTTGTTCATTTTTTGTGATTTGTTGCTGAAAAGCTTCAAATTTTTCATCCATAATCTGCATCTTTTCCTTATATCATTCCTTACCTCTCCTATCTCTTTCTTCATTTCTTTGTGATTTCTTGTTATCACCTCCTGAATAGGTTGCAGCATGGCTTACAGATCTTTAAACAAATTCGACTTCTTTCTTTGTATCATTTTCTCAATGGATCTCTGATTGGATGGACTCAATGACATCACTGATGCCTGGGTGATTGTTTTTCTCCCTGCCCCAATTTTAGTTAAATTCATAACACTTGTCATGCTTAACAGCCCTTCACAAAGTTATTCTTTATCAGACACTCCCACCATTTCTTCCCACCTGTATAGCCCTCCACATTTAGATTCTTAATACTCTGTGTGTATGTGTGTGTATCATATCTCTATATCTCTATATCTCTATCTCTATATATCTGTATCTATCTATCTATCTATCTATCTATCTATCTATCTATCTATCTATCTATCTTCTCATACATACATACATATATAATATAATATAAAAAGAAATTATCGACATAATTATTACTATCTTAAGTCAACATTGAAAACAATAGTAAGAGTTCCCATTGAGAACAATACTATATTAACCCTTACAATAGTAATCTTGACATAGTTTCTAATTGTATAAATAATACTGCTAATAATAATATTTAATAATATTAATAATATTCATACTACAAATAATACTACTCACAATAATAGTAATTGATAATAATAATGATAGTAGTATAATAATAGTTTCAAAGTACTTAATATATTTCAGTTTAACTCAGAAGCACTGCAAAAAATCCCTCTGCTTGGTTTTTAGTTCTTTTTTTCCTTTTGTTAATAATCAAGTGTCCACCAACACATAAGATTTTCTTCCTTCTCTTCTTTTCAGTTTCCACTTTTGCAAGTTTCTTTTCCTCTTTGACCAGCAGGTCTCTCTCTCTCTCTCTCTCTATCTCTTATTTCTGTTCTAAAAATGCTCTGTCATTGTCCCTGAAGAAACTCCATTTTATTTACAAAGTTATCCAGTTCTGCCACTTACACTATCCACATCTTCTTTCTACAATTCCACAGCCATCCCTAATATAATCCACCTTATCTTTATCACAAACTAGGCTTTTCAGTTATTCCCGCTCTTCCTGGTCTTCCTCTCCTTCTAAGTCTATTTCTGCCCACCATTATCCTCACTGCTTTTCTTCCGAGGGAGAGATATCCACCTCTTAGCTGAAGCTATCTCTTTTTCACCAAATTCTGCCCAGGGACCCCTTCAAAAGCACTCCCTTTCATCTCTTCACAAAAATATTGGGGCTGATTTTGACCAGCTCTGATCCACCATCATTCCACTAAGACACCACTCACTCTGTCCCTCTGTTAGATCTTCTGGTTGACCATTGCTGGCCATCTTTTTCCCTGTCCTCTCTCTATGGGCTTTCTCCTGCCTTCTGACATGGACTGCTGCCCACATGCACTCAACAGGATGCCCACTTCTTCAGCTCTCCCTCCAGGACCCCCTTCAGCTTTGGGAAACCCATGGGACAGCTGGAAAGGGGTTGTGTTCTGCGGACCTATCAGTTTGCACAACCACTCGATCTGACAGCTAGCCCCACCTCCTGGGCAGCATCATTTGTGAGTCACAATCAGGGCTTGAGTTTTGGAGATCTCTTTTCTGCTACTTCTTCAGTGAGGGAATTGCCTGATGAAGATGCTCCTCCCGCATGGAATTAGCAGGGAGATATGACTGCTTGGGCCTTAGTACCACAGAGAAAAAATTAGGAGAAGCTTTGTGTGGAGGTAGGTGAAGGGGATAGCCTCAGTCTGATTCTGAGTGGGGTGTGTCTCTGAGTCTGTGTGTGCATATGTATGCAGACATTTTTACAATACAGGGAATATGCTGGACAAATTTTCCTCCCACCAGACAGAAGTACAAGGTGTTCAGAACTTGCTGTGCTAACTACTCATGAATGCAATCCCTCCAAGAATCCATTTAACTGATTACAATATAAACGAGACAAGAAAGACAACCTTACAATGAATTTTCACCCTCCTCTATAGTCTTTCCAGCTGTCTTCTGGGGATTGAAAAGACGTGTCCATCTCAGGGTCCTTTCTTTCATGTCTGCTGGGTGGCATTAGGCTTGGCTTGTTGGTAAGGGTGGTCAGTCAGGCTTGGGAAGGTCTGCTCCACTCTGGTTGCTGTGATGATTTCCAGGTAGATGGCTGGATCCATATCCAATTTCCTGGCTCAAATGAATGGAAGATCTCCTCTGGAAGCAGCATCTGGATCAGCGTTATCTGCTTCCACAGGTTGCAGAGCTATCTGTGCAGGGCTGAAGGACATGAGAACAAAAACCCCCGCCCCCTTTGTGGGTAATCCTTCCAGGAAAGGCATTGTAAGAGGATTAGAGATGGGCTGTGGAATGAGGGTGGGTAGATAGTGTGGAAAGGGAACTTCATGAGGACAGTGGTGATACCCAAGCAGGAAAAGCCCAAAGAGAACATCAGGCCAGCCATAAAACAAACTTGCATAGGAAAAGAGATTTGATAAAAGGTATTGAAAGAAGCCCCCTAGACAAAAGCCAAGTAATTAAGAAAGCTAGGGAAACAAGAAAAAGAAATCCCTTACAAACAAAAGGTCATGCCAAATCAGCAAAACAAATAGACAAAAAGATACGAAATAAATCCCATAGCAGACAGGAGATTGCCACCAAACAAATATAAGAAAACATTAGGATGAAACTGATAATCCAATCAAACCACCCCACAGAGTTTACCCTCTGGCGGAAATGAAGACAACCCCCTGACAGGATTTAAAACATTAAGAAATACAAACACAAGCACTCACACACAAAAGGAGAAAAGGTATAAAAATCAGGAGTTTATTACACAAAGAGGGCTAGCCCCAGGAACGCAGACTTCTTGCTATCTCTTGCCTTCCTGGAAAATAAACCCGCTTCCAAGCAGTTGTCTGTGTCCCAGCAGGAAAACTGAATCCTCAGAAGAAAGGCATTTTCCAGCCTTTCAACAATAGCTTGCATGCAGAATTTGAGGGAGAAAATATCAGTACTACAATTATTAAACAGATAAAGCAATTATAACAAAATGGAGACATCACAGATGAGGAAGGAAGAAAAACTGGATTCACATGCTTCAGAAAAAGGATGGACAGATAAAAATCATTTAAACACATAGTAAATGCAAGAACAAACTTTTTCTTGTAAAGGAACTCAAAACATTCCCTCATCACTTTGGGCTTTTCTTAAAAATACAGATAGAGAAGGGGGAAAATGAACAGTTTTCTCTTCACCCTGTTTTGTGGGCCAGACAAAACAGAATGAAGGCATTTTCTTTTTAGTGCTTTATTTTACCTAGCAATTTAAAATTGTTGTCTTTTGGAGACATTTTTCAGTTTCAATTACCATTTTTATATAAAAAAAATATTTTTTAAGACAAACATATACAGACAAAACATAAAAAACATAAAACCATCTTCCAATTATATACATACAGTGTGTCAGTTGGTTACAAATCTTTTGTGCTATCCTTTCATAGTCCTTAATCATAGGTTGTATAGATTCTCACATTGTCAATCTAACATATGCTTATATATTTATCAGTTATTAATCATTCATTTGACTAAACTATTATTCCATCATTTTACACGAGATATTGTAGATTTTATTATACATTTATATTATGCATTCGTCCAATGGTTATATATTTTTGTATTATGTTCTATATCAATCTATTAGTCTTCCATTATAAAATTTCCTAGTCTATTTCATTACCATGTCTTTTTATCTAACCATTGATGAAATAAGTCTCATATAAAATTGTTTATCTTCTTGTTCTCTAATTTCAAATGTCAATTTACTCATTTCAGCACAGTCCATAATTTTCTTAATAACTTTCTCCTGCATAGGTATTTTTTCATTTTTCCAATTCTTAGCAAATACAATTCTAGCCGCTGTTAAAACATTTACAATACAATATTTCAATTCTTTATTGTATATTTCCAGTATAATTCCCAGTAAAAATATCTCTGGTTTAAAGTCTGTGTGTTGTTTTATCATTTTTTTCCAAAGGTGTGAATTTTAGTCCAATATCTTTTTGCATCCAGACACGTCCACTACATATGGTAATATGAACCAGTTATCTGATGACATTTTCAACATTTATCTGATTTGTTCTTAAACATTCTCGCAATTCTCATTGGGGTAGATGCTACCTGTAAAACATCTTATACAAATTTTCTTTATAAGCAGTTCACATTGTCATTTTATAGTTTTGAGACCACAATTTTTGCCATTTCTCAAAATCAATTCCATATCCAAAATTTCCCCCCAAGCAATCATCATTTCTTTAACTTGTTCTTCCTCTAATTTAAATTCTAATAAATGTCCATAGAGTTTTAAAATTACCTTTTCATCAGTACCCATCAAAATTTTATTTAAATCAGTCAACTTATCATGGAAACCTTATGTTTTAAGATCTTTATCAAATCTAGATTGTATTTGTACGTAAGAAAACCAATTCATTTTTATACCTTGTTCTTCGAACACTTGCACAGATTTAAGTTCACCTTTTCATTCAATATCTTACCATATCTTCCTTTTTATATGTTATTGGATAAGAAAAAGGTTCGATAGTAGATAACCATAATGGAATTTTTAAGTAATATTGCTTTTTTATCTTTTCCCAATTTAAAAACAATGTCTTTCGAATATAATGTCTTCTAAAATACCCCTATGTTTTGGTTCCCTTATACCAGAGGAAGGTATGCCATCCCAACAGCAAGTCATATCCTTCTAAGATCAATAATCTACTGTTCCTTAATGTTACCCATTCCTTTACCCACATCGAATTTGTCACCTGCTAGTAAATTCCCAATTGGGCAAAGTGAATCCTCCTCTTATTCTTGCATCTTGTAACAATTTAAGTTTTATTCTCACTTTCTTTCCCTGCCAAATGAATTTTAACACTATTTTATTTAGATCTTCAAAAAACTCTTTCCTTAATCTGATTGGAATTGTCTGGAATAAATATAAAATTCTAGGCAATACATTCATCTTAATTGTAGATATTCTCCCAATCAGTGATAATTGTAAATTTTCCCATTTTATCAAATCTGTCGCATTCTGTTGTTTGAGTTTAAGATAATGATCCTCCATTAGTGTACTGCATCTTGCTGTTATATATATCCCTAAGTACTTAACCTTATTTGTGACCTGGATTTCCAGAACTTCCTCCAACTCTTTCATCTTGCTGATATCTTCTTTGTTAATATCTTTGTTTTATCTTTATTTATTTTTAAAACTGCTACTTCTCCATATTCTTCTATCTTTTCTATTAATTTAGGTGCTGTTTCCAGTGGATCCTCTAATATAAATACCAGGTCATCTGCAAAGGCTTGCAATTTGTACTCTTCCTTTTTAATTTTCATTCCTTTCATTTCTTTTTTTTATCTAATGTTCCTGTTCAACACTTCCACTGTTAACACACAACAGAGGCAACAGTGGACAACCTTGTCTGGCCCCTTTTCTTATGTCTACAGCATCTGTTAACTCTCCATTTATCATTACCTTTGCAGTTTGCTTATAATATATCATTTCTATGGCTTGAATAAATTTTTTATCAAAGCCCATTGGTTTCAATTATAATAACATAAATTGCCAACTCACATTGTCAAAGGCTATCTGTGCATCTAAAAACATCAAAGCCATTTGCTTTTCAGGATGTGCCTCATAATATTCCAAAGTATCCAGAATTATTCTCATATTATCTTTAATTTGTCTCTTTGGCAGAAATCCGTTTTGATCAGAATGAATAATGTTATTTAAATATCTTTTCTATTAAAAGTATTTTTACATTATTGTCCATTATCTCCACCATCAAGATCCTTCCATCATTATCTGTATAGATTTGTTCCACAGGGATTGTATCTCTAACATATAAAGCCACTCCTCTCTTTTTACATTGTGTCAATGCTGTACACAATGTGTACAGAAATTTCCCTAATTTTTGGTGTTTCAATAAGTGTTCATGTTGTTTTTTAATATGTACTTCTTGTAAGCAGATTATATCAAATTTTAATTTCTCTAATTTATGAAATACTTTTCTTCTTTTAATAAGTAAATTGAGTCCATTTATATTAATTGTAATCAATTTTCTATCATCCATTTTAGACTTTATAAGAAGGATTTGTTGTTCTAGTAGATCTTGGTTTTTGTTGCTCTCTGGGTACACTACTCACAGCTCCTTCTTCTTTTTCAATTGCTGTTATATTCAATTGCTCTTAGAATTCAATTAGCGACTCTTCTTTTCTTGTATCTTCCACTTTTCCTGTAAAATATTCTAGATAGAATAGCTCAGCTTTTTCAACTGTGTCAATTCTGTGTCTTTGTTCCTGCCAGGTGAACATGAGACCTTCTGGTGTCAACCATCTGTAGTTTACTCCACTCTTAAGTAACTCTTTAGTCAGAAATAGGTATTCTCTTCTCATCTCTCTCACTCTTCTTGGTACTTGCTTCAGTACCACAATTTATTTATCTTTATACTTTAATGTTTTCTTTCTTGCCGCCTACAGTATCTGTGTTTTAATAGCTTTCTTAGTGAATCTAATATGAACTTATCTTGATAATTTATTTCTCATTGCGTATCTTGCATAGACATGGAACACTTCATCCATTCCATCCATCAGCTTCTCTTTAGTTATCTCTAATGCTTCCACCAGGATTTTTGTCATTATTTCAGCAAGGTTTTTGCCCTTTTCTTCTTCTATATTTTGGAATCTAAGATAAAATTCTGACCTGTCAATTTCCCATCCCAATGATCTGCTCTTGTCTCTTTCAACTTCACTCAATCGAGTATCAATATCTCCAATTTTCTTATCTCTTTGTACATCTTGTTCTTCAATTTTCTCGAATCTATCCTCATATTTTATCATCATCTGTTGGATATTCTCAAGTTTCTCATCTGTCTTTTCAGTTCTTTGCTCAATATTTTTCCATTCTCTTTTCAGTATTGTCTGTTTTTGCTTGTATCTTTTCCTCCTGTTGCAACATCGTCTGTATTGATCGCTGTCCTCCAGATGGTGAAGAGGAAGAAATTGGTATTGAAGAGTCTGAGGCTGCTGTCTTTCTACTCATCTTGTAGTGCTTGATAAAAAGAGAAAAAAAAGAAGAAACAAGAGCAGACAACTGCCACCCCAATAAAAATTAAAAAAATAAAAAATAAAAAAAGGAAGGGGAAGGGGAAAAAATCTTCAGGCACTTGTATACCTTAAACCAGTGGTTCCCAAACTTTTTCAGTCCACCGCCCCCTTGGTGCAACAAACTCATCCTTAGTGCCCCCCAGCCAGGGGTAGGATTCAAATTTCTATGGACATGGCCTAATTTGAGGGTGTGGCTTGCTGGTCATGTGACTGGGTGGGCATGGCCAGGTGACTGACAAACCAAATACAAGTGGCTCTCACTTAATGGCTGGTTGTTTAGCAAGTGTTCTGATTTATGACTGGCCTCCCCAGAGCTATTTGACCTGCTTTTGGAGTTTTGACAGCTTTAGATTAGGGGTGTAAATTCCACCCCTGCCTGGGTGAGTGTGAGAGAGGGAGTGACAGAGGTTGGATTAGATCTCTCTCTCTCTCTCTCTCTCTCTCTCTCTCTCTCTCTCTCTCTCTCTCTCACCAATGCCAGAAAGCCACCATTAGTCAAAATTCATATTAGTCAGTCTTCGGGATTTAAAATTATGAGTTCGGTGGACCCTGAGGTCCAAAGGTTTGGTGACCCCTGATCTAAAGGGGTGAGCCTGAGAGAGGGAAAGAGAGAGAGAAAATAGAGAGAGAGAGAGAGAGAGGAAGAAAAGAAAGAGAAAAGGGAAAGAAAGAAAAAGGGACAGACAAAGAGTGGGGGGGATGGAAGGAAGGGACAGAAAGAAAAATAAATCAAGGAAGGAGAGAGGGTGGAGAAAGATAATGAGATATCTATTCTAGTCCAATCACCTGCTCCAGCAGGGTTAGAAGGGAGTGTGTGTGTGTGTGTGTGTGTGTTCTTGTAATTTACCAGTACATTTTGTTTTTGCCTTCTTCAGAATTGGTACTGTAATACATTGGGGAAAAGTAATTTTTAGGGTGGAGATCTGGTCCAATGGATCCTGTTTAAAGCCTCAACAAAATGTGAGAGCTTCCTGATAGTGTTGACCATGTTTTGTCCACAAAACCTTTAATAAAAGCCAAAGATGTTTCAATGTACTGGCAAAGAAGTTTCAATGTGGAAAAGGGCCTCAGTCTAAACTAGGTCTCATTCAATCTGATGCATCAGGTCTCTCTTTTTCTCTCTCTTTCTCTCTCTCCCTCCCTCCCTCGTTCCCTCCCTCCCTCCCTCTAGTTTCCCAATGTGCTTGCAGGGCCGGCACTTTGAACATGGATGGATAGATGGATGGATGGATGGATGAAGAGAGAGAGGCAGGCAGGCAGGCAGATGGATAGATAGATATATTGGTTGATATATAGGTAGGTAGACAGACAGAAAGACAGGTAGGAAGGCAGGTAGGTAGGTAGGCAGGAAGGCAGACAGACAGATCTTTTGGATGGATGGATGGATAGGTATATAGGTAGGTAGGTAGGTAGATCTATATTGGTAAATAGGTAGGTAGGTAGGCAGTTAGGCAGGAAGGCAGGAAGACAGACATTTTGGATGGTTGCATGGATAGGTAGGTAGGTAGGTATGTAGGTAGATAGATATTGGTGGATAGGTAGGTAGGTATGTAGAGAGAAAGACAGACTGATAGGTAGATAGGTAGGAAGGCAGGAAAGCAGGCAGGCAAACATACAGAACTTTTGGATGGATGAATGGATGGATGGATGGATGGATGGATGGATGGATGGATGGACAGACGGACAGACAGACAGAATTCGATAGCAGTGGCGCTTTGGGAAAGCAGTGGCAGTGGCTTTTCCCAACATGCTGCCACATTTGAGGCACCAGTTCCGGTGCAGTACAACAGTCAATGGGGTGAGCCTGCAGGGCCAGTGCCTTGAATGCCCCCCTGCTGCCTCTTAGCATCCCCAAGGGGACTAGCAGAGGGGCGCTAAGAGGTGGCAGAGGGGTGTTCAAGGCACCAGCTGGCCCTGCAGTTTCATCCATTAACTAGCACCGCTCCGGAGCCGGCACCTCTGATGCGGAAGCAGTGGCACGTTATATGCTACCGTGGCTGCGTTTGATGCACCCCCCCCTGCCGCCTCTTAGCACCCCTCTGCTGGCCCCCTTGGGGACGCTAAGAGGGGGCAGGGAGGCGTTTGAGGCACCGGTCCTGCAGGTTCACCCATTGACTGTAGCACCACTCTGGAGCTGGCATCTCAATGGGTGAAACTGCAGGGCTGGCTGGCACCTCAAATGCCACCCTGCCACCTCTTAGTGCCCCTCTGCCAATCCCCTTGGGGACACTAAGAGGTGGCAGGGGGGCAGCGCATCAAACATGGTGGCGCATAACGTGCCACCGCTTCTGCATTGGAGGCGTCAGCTCCAGAGCATTACTACAGTCATGGGTGAACCTGCAGGGCCGGCCAGCACCTTGAACACCCCCCTGCTGCCTCTTAGCACCCCCTGCCAGCTCCCTTGCCTCTTAGTGCCCCCCTAAGGCATCCCACCGCCCTTCAGGAGCGGTACCGCCCACTTTGGGAACCACTACCTTAATCTAATTGGTTTGAATTATATAAAAGAAAAAAGAAAAAAAATACAAAGAAAAGAAAGAGTGAAGAATAAATTAAAAAAAAATAGAAATCTATGTATTTCACATAATAAAAAAAAGTAAAACAAAAGAAAAGGAGGGAGGAAAAAAATATACTCTAATTCCTGAGCCAAAAGACTAAAGTGCAAACATAAAATTCCAGCTGGAGGGGAAGTAAAAAAAAAAAAAGGATAACACACAGTTCTGTCAGAAAGCAAACCACTGCCACTAAATGTCCAAGCCTCCTTAATGAATCAAAACAGAATTTCCAGTTCTCTTTTCATTTTTTTAAAAAAAACTTTATTAATTTTACAATTAAAACAGACAAACAACACATACATAAATGTGAAAAAGAAAAAAGAAAGAAAAAAGAAAAGTAGAAATCTGAAAACAATTAAAAATACTTTTGTCCTCGACAGTTTGTGGGACCTTATTTTCAACCTTATTTTATACCCTCTATACAATTGATCTTTGTGCGAATATAGAACTCAGAAGTTCATCACACAGCCCATGGCCCAGGTCATTATGACCCAGGAGATTACAGCACAAGACCCAGTGTAGAGTTGTAATTGCAGGAATGTTCCAATCTCGGATGGCAAACCTCAGATAAAGAATGTTTCCAAGCAAATACAACTCAGGTAAACAAAGTCACTAATCTA